AGTCACACAGCGCAGTGCTCAGTACAGCTCTAACACACCCAGTCACACAGCGCAGTGCTCAGTACAGCTCTAACACACTGAGTCACACAGAGCAGTGCTCAGTACAGCTCTAACACACTGAGTCACACAGTGCAGTGCTCAGTACAGCTCCAACACACAGTGAGTCACACAGCGCAGTGCTCAGTACAGCTCTAACACACAGAGTCACACAGAGCAGTGTTCAGTACAGCTCTAACACACAGAGTCACACAGTGCAGTGCTCAGTACAGCCCAAACACACCAAATCACACAGCGCAGCTCCCTGTCTGACTGGAGTCGATCTGTTCCTGCCTCCTTACAGTCTTTCCTTGTCTGTGTCTCTGTAGTCTCTCCCCTCTCCCTCTTGTGTTTCTGATGAAATGTTTCTTCTCCTCTCTCTTCTCCTCTCAACCTTTGCCAGTGCGATATACCAGAACTGGGCTCAGGTGAACACAAGGGCTCCAAGCTGCTGACTGTGTACGACGAGATTCGGCCGAGGAACAGTGCCCCCTGCTAGCAGAGAGTGTTACTGCCTCCTTTGTGCTGACGAGGAGTTCGAGCTCTGTCTCTGCGCCCCTGGCAGTGCGAGTGCGGAGACTGTGCCTGGGACAGAGCAGAAGAGCCTCTGCAGATCAGCTGACCCGGCAGAGTTGACCTCCTCACATGGAGCAACAGTGACCCCTTGTGGTTGAACTGGGTATCTGCAGGACTGGAGAATCCGAGACGCCGGTCGACATCTGTCTTCATTCCACCTGTTATTTACAATTATATTCAAGCATTTCATAAAAGCAGAATAATTTAAAATACATCTGATGCTACTATTGACAATCTGTATGAATTATTTTTAGAATTCTGGCAGATCAATAAATAGATCTGGCAGTTTTCATATTCTCATCCTGAGTCTGAGACTTGTGTGATTACATTGCTAAGCATATTAATGAATGAATGAAGTAGAAGACTAGCTAAGTGCAGGATTCACTAAACAGTGAGTCCAGATTTTCAATGATTTACAGTCCTGACTGAAGCACTGGGCTTCTCAAAGACTGAACTGGCCCAGGATTTTGAATGTTTGAATCAGGTCTCCTCAGCACTCTGTTCAGCACTAAAGAGACTAAGCTCCTTCAGCCTGTCAGCATGGGACACTCCCTTCAGACTAAATAGAAGGGAGTGTCCTGAAAGGAGTTCCTTCACTCCTTTCAGACCAAAGAATGAAAAATACTGTGACTCAAATCGTGTAGCTGGGATGTTTATCTCTGGCAGAGAATAACTGTCTACATCTCTGCTGTCTAGACCTGTATTGCATTTGCCTGTAAAATAAACTAATTTATTAACTGACTGCAGCATCCCTGTCTCTTTATTTCAGAGCAAATCCATTCTTTTCTGATCTGGGCAAGACGGGTGGTAAGACGAGTCTGATGTTTGTGACTCTTATATTTTAATATACAGGACTGGATAGTAAATCATGGATATGCATTTGTCTTTCACAAGAGGGAAGATTTCCTTGGTTGTCAAATCATTTTTCCTTTGGTTCAGGAATTATTCTTTACTGCTGTGTGTTTGGTTTTCCAGACTAAGCTGTGTGAGGAGAAGAGTTGTGAGGACGAAGCACTGCCCCAGTGGACGAGTGATTCTGGGGCACAGAAAGGATCAGAAGCACTCTGACACCTTCCGAACCAGTTCGCTCTTGCTCTATGACTAATATCAACAAAACATCACCCCTACCGTTGTTTTAGAAGTTGATGTCTTTTTTCCAATTAAAACTGAAAAAAAACTTTGAATTCTTTACAAGTAGAATGGCAGATAAATAAAGAGCAGGTATGGTATATATAAACAAGACAGATCTTAAGCTTTAGTCAAAAGAATTCTTGCTAAAATATAGAATCTCTTTGTAGCAGTAAGTATTGAAATGATTTTTGATTCCAATTGCATTCAGTATATGTGAGAACTGTTGATTTTATCTTAGAAATATTAATACCCAAAGGCTTAAAAGATTTTTGACCTATGTAGCCTCAGCCATGGGCTCATTGGTACTGGGTATGCACTACATTTCAGTGTTTGCCTATAGAAACCACCCATTCATAGCAATAATATGGGGTGGCCAGAGCTGGTCTTGGAAAATAAAACCCTCTCTAACACTGTTGGAATTCAGGGCACTGTGGGAAACACCCCTGTGTGTGTCTGTTTCAGCGTTCTGTGGAAATGGACATTTTCATCACAGTTAAACCTAACTCTAACCTTCACTGGACAGCGCCGTCACTCGCTTGTATCCCTACAGAAGAGTTCTCATGAAAGAAGAGTCAGGCTCACCCAGCATTCATCTGATGTTATTTATCAGTTTCTTTCATTATCTGGTTCACACCTAGTTTAAGATGATGTGTTTATGCTAGAGCCAGAAATTTATAATCTATATTTAACAACTGTACAGGTCTTCAGTTAAGTGAGAGTTGGCCTTTGGTGGGTTTATAAGTCCTTATTATGGTATGACTCTTTAAAAAGAGTCCATATTTCTCCAGAATTGGGGTTGAATAAACCAATTAATTGACCCTCAGCTTGGTTAAACCTTTTTCACCTGTTTCATTGCTTGGGTCCAGAAATGTTCTACTAATGTATTTTGTTCAAGGCCATGTAGCAAACAGACCTCCTCCAGTTGTCTGTATAAACAGCTCTCACCAGTGGCCAGTAATTTTGATTCTTCCAGCAGCCTGCTGGTCGTCAATCCTGATTCCAGCTCTCACCCTATAGCTCCTGCATCGACCCCAGTGATGACTGACTTTTCCCAGCATGCACCAGGCTTGACAGGCCTACTCTCAATCCAGACCATGCTCGAGTCTCAGTGCTCCGGAACAGCCTGTGCAGCAGCTCTTCAGACTGAGTCTGACACTAACACACTGCTAGCCATCCTGTCATAGTTTAGCTTTTGTGTTTAAGGTCATTGTCATATTGTATGATACACTTTTAGTTCGGCATCACATTTTCCTCTTACTCTGGTACTCTGGTACAGTGCAGAATTACTGGTAAACTCAATGACAGCAAGGTGTCCAGGTCCTGAGGCAACAAAACAGGCCCAAACCTTCACACCTTGCTTGGTTGGTATGAGGTTGTTCTGGTCAAAGGCAGTCTTTAGTTCTGAAGAAAGATACAAGCTGTGAAGAAGGGGTTAAATGATTTCTTTCTGCACAAGGACTTCTTGTGACACAAGATATTCCTAGCTTTGATTTATTGCAGGGATGGGGGTTAACTGATAAGAATTCCAGATGCAAGCTAGAGACTCCCCCAACTAAGGAAACTTAAAACCGACCATTAAGAGTGGTCAACGTCTGGGAACTGTCCGAACACCGTGATCTTCCCCCATTACCATGGTAAAAAACTACTTCGGAAATGGTTGAAAAGTGCTATATAAACAGGTTTCGTACCTATATCATATATATACAATACTTCGGTCTTATTGTTCCTTGCATGCAATAAACGCAGTTGTTTAAACTTCATCTCAGGATCCAGAACTTATTTGTCTGTTACAACAATTTTTGGCGTGACGAACAGGACCTTCCAGAAGGGTCAGAGAGGGTCAGTGCGCAGAATTCAAAGAGGTCTCTTTCTGTCAGTGCAGAATTGTTCTAGCACATCTCAGCATGGCCCTAGTGAGGTGGTCTTTGTTCCCATACCCCCAGGGGTAGGTGTTTCTATCTGCCCTCGGGATGATTAGCAGCCTGGTATTGGTGTAACTAACAAACACACACACACACACACACACACACACACACACACACACACACACACACACACACCAGAGTCAACCTTCCCAGTAGCCAATCAAACTACCAGTACGTCTTTGGGCTGTAGGAGGAAACTGGTGTAAACACAGGGAGAACATACCAACTCCACATAGGCAGCACCTTAGAAACCAAGCCAGGGCCCTGGCAGTGAGAGGCAGCAATGTTAGCCACCTGCCTCAAAGAATCTATGCTTAGAGTTTCCATGGTGCACAGTAACTTAACGTGATAATCCAGTGTTTCACTTAAAGTCCACCAAAGCGATTTCAGCCTCTCTGTGCGTGTCTTAAATGAGACAAGGGCAGGGTGTTCCATGCAACTTAATCTTTAATCCATCAGCTTCACTGTGATCTTAGTGATCTTAGAGGCTGCTTGACTGAGGTGTTTCTAAGCACATCATTTACATCACCTAGATGGTGTGAGAAAACCATAAAAAAAGGAAACCAGGCTCACAAAACTAAAATGTAGAATTTTAATCAGGAAATGTTCTGTTAAAATTGTACAATACAA